GGGAAAAATATATACGGACACAACGCCCTCTTCTTTCCATTTGTCATATATAGCATGTATACCGGCAACCTCGGCGGTGACCTGGTCCTCTTTCGAGTCTAGTACCTCGTTTCCCGTCAGGCGACCCAGTCGTTAGCATTTCGATTTTCCTTCTCCAGGTCTTTCGCGAAGGTTTCCTATCTGTGATTTTTTTTTTTTTTTTCCAAAAAATACAAAGCGCCCTCGCGAAACCTCTGACAAGCGGAATCTCTGCTTTCCTCTCGTAATTTTCGATTTACGAGGTTTGGTGGTCTGCCAAGTCAAACGAGACAGCTATTACGTGCCCTGGGAATAACCTTTATGATGTTCTTCGTATTGGTCTTGTTCCGCATTAAGATTATTTGAATGAGGGGTCATCATCGGAGAGATGGTAAATGAATTTTTGTATTACTTGTTTGTATCGTGTATTGAGCAATTACGAAAGGCACTGGGAAATCGCGGAAATGATATTCCAGCGATTGGGCAAGAGCATTTAAAGAATAATGACTTTTGCCTTCGTCACGAGTCTCGAACTTTTCTCTTCGTCGACTCGTCTTCGTGTAATTCACTGGGAATTAACCCTCATTTATCTCGAATGTTTTTACGGGGTCAATCGATCATTCATCATCCCGCATCCTTATTGACAGGTCCCTCTTACTCAACTTTATTTCAAAATTAATCGGTTTTCCACACGGCGATCAAGATCTCTTTTCAAATCTCCCGCCGTTACGACAGTGCAATCAGTGGTCCGATGGCTCTTGGGAAATTTTATGTAAAAAAAATCTTAAAAGTTAAGAGACGCTTATGGTCCAGGGTGACAGAGAGAGAGAGACTGGCGCCTGTGTATTGCGCCTGGCGGATAACGGTAGACGTAACGGGATGAAAAGAAAAAAGTAAAAGGCCAAAAAGGTATAGTCGTAGCAAAGGTAAGAGAAGGGATCGTCGAGAGTAGCAGGGATGCTGCGACGAGTGGGATCCTTGAGATCCGAGAGGAACGTTTGTTTTTAAGTTTATAGGAGCGTCAAGTAGGTGTTCCACTTGAATCGCTCCTTCGAGCAATTTCCTTTCTCTGTCGGTTTCCTTTATGACCTTGGGACGTCGCACCGATGGAAACCACCTTGGCAGCACTGTGCTGCCACAGATACCCGAACGGGATGCTGCGCCGTTATACGCGTCCCTGTCGTCCAGATCGTTCCTTGGTAAATACACCCGAAGACACGGGGGCGGAATTGGAATTCGCAGGGTCGCCTCTACGTTCGTTAGTCCTTCGGGATCGTATCGACCAATTAGCTTCTTCCGGTCGAGGGTTCAAGTGTTCGGAATTAAATGAACAAAAAGGGTTCAAAGGGACAAAACGAATGAAACTCTCATCCAATGAGCACCGGGTTCAAAAGAATCCTTCGACTCTTCCTAATTCTTCTTCGGCCTGTCTAAATATCAATCAGCTGGCAATTATCGTCGCCAAATGCTGATCGAGATCAGGTGAAAAAAAAAAAAAAATTTTCATCCAAAACCAAAATTTTTTTTTCGCGGTATACTTCAAAATTACAAGAATTTCAAGGGTGCGTCTCGCGGATGGGCTGAGGATAAGGGTAAAGATAAAAATCGGAACGATGGGATCGGTCCATCAGTGAGGCGAGACACGGAAATAATATCGTGACCGGAAATCCTGGCTGGCCGAAGGGCCAGGTATCAGGACGGTCAGGTTAGGTCAAAGGATATCAGCCTTCCTCCCTGCCGTGTCTGCGCTCACGTCCGCTCTCTGTGCTCGGTTTCCTTCCATACGGGCAGAGGAGAAAAATGATTTCTCCTGGGCAGCTCCGGCCGAACTCCTCCGATGCCCCGTTCCCGCTTTAGTGAGGGAAGACCGAGGGTATTTATTATATAACCATACTCTCTTCTTTGAAAGGAGACTCACGTAGGGCGAGGGTTATTGTTTCGAGCGGCTCGGCCTTTACCGCGTGACACGAATTTCTCCTGAGCTGTGCTGACCGAGGGTGGGGTAGAGAGGGGGCACCCACCCCCCTCCCGTGAAACATTTCTCTCCATCCTCATCCTCTCTCCTTTCTCCCTGGACCATATTCAACCAATTCAGTCAGTCAGTCATTTAATATCGTCTTTGTTCCCCTCCCCCCCCTCTCGCCATATTACACGCCCCTCCCCTCCCGGACATTCATTCAACGTCCATAACTCCGCTTGAATAACGAAGCATTCGGATATCTTGTGATTGATGGATTATCGAACCAAAACGAGAATTTGGACTTTGTTCAGTGATAGAGTTTGCGAAAAAAAAAAAAAAAAAAAAAAAAAAAAAAAAAAAAAAAAAAAAAAAAAAAAAAAAAAAAAAAAAAAGAAATTCTAATATATTGATCTAACTAGACTCACACGTGATCTGGAAACTCGGAGCCTTGACCTTCATTCGACTAATGCCTACATTAAAGTCACGCACGCACGGTCCGAGAAATATATTCTTAAAGCTCGACTCGTTCGCTTCTCTGGCGAGTTTAGTAAATATTCGATGAAAGTCCATTTAAAGTTGTCGCGTTTGAAAACGAAGTCAAAGCCATTTGACGTGAACTTTGTAAGATCATAGGTAGCGCCAAGTGGCAGTCGCAGACGCAGCTGGGATACTCGTAAAACTTGCTGGGTTTTCGATATTGGGTAATACGTGCGTGGAGTGGACACGGCTATTCGGAAAGTGAACGAGCCATGGAGTCAAGATATTGTGATATCGTGATAAGCCAACTTCGACAAAGATACTCGAAACTTTTGTCATTACGAAAGTTTGTCGTGTAGGTAATATCAGGCTATACGGATGTACTTGGGTGGCTTATTGAAATACGAAGAATTTAGTGAAATTTAGTAAACAACGTCCAATCGATTTGTACACTCTTAACAAAGTGCCTCGGGTCAGCAGTCCCCAGCCAGCCAGCCGAGACCGGATACCAGCAGCCAGCCTTAGGACTAACTAAAGTTATGTGGCTTCGCGACACTGTCTGACCCGCGGATTATCGGATTAACTGGCTAGTCGGAAAGCACAGGGGTATGGAGCGACGATTATGGAAAGTAGAAATGTCCTCCGGTGTATCGAGTTACCTTGTGAAAAGGATAGTAAAGAAAAAGAAAACAGAAAGCAAGTATTAGGCTAAAGTCAACGCTCCCACCGATATTCCTATTTATTACAATAGGGATGTCTTGGCTGTAAATCAATATCTGATATCGCACATGTTAATCGCGTTATACATTGTACTCGCGTGCGCATGCGCAGACACGTCCCAATATCCAGCACGAGTAGATGCGTCCATTTGAGTAAATTTCGAGGTTAGAAAACGACTCCTGTTCGTGACGTGAATAGCATTATGGCCTCTGTTTCCGTTTGTAACGTCAACGACGTATAGGACGCGCTTACCGTATATTGTGTACACAGGAGGTACAAAGAGAGAGAATAAAGCAGCGAGGGGGACTAGTGGAGAAATAAATAAAAAAAAAGAGTAGAAAAAAACAAGGACGAAATTTTGAAGAAGAATGAATTTGAGGTAACTCGAGTAAACTGGCTCTGATATTTATTTAGCCATCCGCATAGGCAGTAGTTAGTACGAAGAGGGCAAAGGGGAGGCAACAGAGGGTTGGGACTCCCTTCAGGGTCCATAATACAGATAATACAGAGCTCGGTCAGCCCTGGGGAAATTTAGCAGGCACCGTGAAAACCGTTGTTTTATACGCGTTTTAGCCGGCTGTACACGCGAGGAAAAGGTGGTAGGTAAAAGCATTCGTGCGCGTCGTGCCCTCTCGTACTCTGAATAACGCCATTAACGTTAACTCCTAGCAGTCGGGAGAGCGGAAAAGAGCGCGCTTCCCTATTAAAATAGGTATAACGAAAAACGTCCCTTTATGCTCGGACAAGGACGCCTGACTACCAGACACAGCTGCATTCTTGCGTTAAAGTTACACGATGCTGCCAACGCGTACTCGTCGCTCCGTGCTACACGGTAGGATCGCTGTATGCCTACGTAGGAACATTACCAATGCATCCTACGACGTGAAATATCTATTTAGTCATATATATGTTATATGGGCAGCCACCCTCTATCCTCTTTACATAGCTTATTTTCGCACCTTCGTAAATGGCTCAGGCGAATGCTGACCTTATCGAGGAGCACATCGTCCAAGGGAATATCGAGCGAAATGGGTATATCTAACGGTAGCCACCAGCCAGCCACTCAAGCACACGCTACCGGCCGGCCAACCAACCAACCAACCAACCTACTTTGACCTATCCACAACTTGAACTTCCCAGCAGCACTTGCGTCTTTCACTTCTTACAGAACCCTTATAGAGCCCTAAGGCTCCTCGGCCCGAAGCCATTGGGGGTTGCAGCTCTTTACTGAGTCGCTGGTTAACTGAAATTTTCGTCGGAGCGAAACGGGGCGTAACGGAAGGAAACGAATGGAGAAAAGTGGCAGGAAGAAGAGAGCGAGAGAGAGAGGGAAAGGAAAGAAATTGAAATAAAAGCTGTCTACGTATTGAACCGGACCAAGAGAATTTTACGTCGACGAGGGTTTAGTTGCTCGTGGGCGAAGTTAACGTTGAGCTATATCAGGGACTGTTGCTACTTGGTACATTTATGAAGGTGGTATGTACCAGCCGCCATACTCGAACGGAGAAAGAAATAATTGAAAATGTAGTCTCGGTCGGGGCATGACGAAATTAAGTATATTTTCTCATAAATTCATCGTCGATATTTCATAAGCCTTCAAAATTATTCGATGTAAACGGCTGCTCGTATTACGTAATGAAATATATCTATCGGTCGATCGAGAAAAATAACACAGACAGTACCGAAACGCGAAATACATTCTGTCTCTGGTAACGCCTTAACGATACTTGTAACAATGTGTCAGTTAAAATTAGACATAGTGAGTAGACTCGTAGGACGAATTTGAGGAAGTTGACAGAGAAACAGGTGGCAACTATCCGATCAGTGTTTCGTGTTGCAGGACCACCGCAGCCGGCACTCGCAGTGCTTCAGGGAAATGCAGTGCTTCCTTGTGACATACGGCCACCAGGTCCAAACGACTCCGCCATATTGGTCATCTGGTACAAGAACGACGTTACGCCAATTTATAGGTGAGTAAAAAAATTTATTAAAAATTTTCAAAAAAATAATAAGGATGAGGGATGTAGCGATTTTTTATCGTCCCATTTATTTGTACCAACCTTTATTAAACGATGAAAACTTTATTGCTAATTGCCATTGCGCGAAATCGTTTTTTACGGATGCTCCACAGGCCGGTTCCCGTTTCAAACCGTTCTCAACGTTTGGCGAAGCCTGGAGGCTGATTTCACGGTTTCCACAAAAAAAAAAAAAAAAAAAAAAAAAAGAAAAAAAATAACGGTAATATTTTTGACAACCTACCGCGTCGTTTATTGCGTCGTGGCCTTTGTGTCATGTCTGACGTATCACGTAGGCGTCGTGAGCCATAACAAGGCACAGTGTGGTCCGGTCGATCAGCTTCGTGTATTATATATGCTGTATAGTCTACCTCAGATTCTATGTGGTACAGTGTGTGTATAGCAGAACCCGTAATAAGGGACGCGTGTCAACAGGTAATAGCAAGCGGGCCAGCTCGATGGCCGCCCTTGCAAACTGTGCTGTTTATTAGGGAGCATTGTGAGGAAGATGACGTGTGAAGGGTATCCGAAGGGTAGGCATTAAGAGAGGGTCGCTGGTGCTGCTGTGCCGTTCAGGCTATTTTATTAAGAGGGAACAGTTGCTAACTCGACCGGGAACCCACCTTGCCTTTACTCTCTACCCAACTCTTCATCTTTGCGCGCAGTTTGATCTCTCTGTTCGTTCCTGGTAACCGTGTAGTGGGGGGCGACGGTGCACGTGAACCTATTCGACATCTGGGAATTGTCCTGAAAAGAGGTCGGGTTAGGCTGGGGACTCTCGGGGATGGATTCCCAGGATTCTATGGGTGAATCCTTAAATCGCTTGCGGTTGTGTCGATTGCGCCAGAGCCGAATCCGACTGCGAGGCTTAAACTTTGAAAAGACTTGGAAACAGGAGAAAGGTTTTCGAAGGTTCCAAGAGGTTTTGAAAAGGTAAACACGAAATATCACTTCCGTCGATAAATTTTCGATACCCAAGACTGTGGTTCTTAAATTGAAATTGGATTTTCGGATATTTAATAATCCTTGGTGTTTGAGAAAGTGTCCAAAAAAATGTCAATAATGTTTTTCGAATTTTTTCCACCAATTTTCGAGGGATTTTCAACTTGTCACGTGGAGTCTCTTACATATACACGTCCTATTGTCAATACGTCAGTCCGCGTGCTTAATACGTAGGAAATTCAAGATGGTTAAAAAGTTGTCAATGACGTTAACGATGACGTCACCGTCGTATAAGTTAACGTTCACGGCAAGCCCTCCCAAGATTCGGTTGGCGTAATCAGCCAGATCCAGTTTCCCTGAACTCCCGTGCCGCTCATCTCGTTTCCCTCTCGCAGAATGGAAATAAAAGTTCCCGGCCGCACGTCGGCCGTTGCGAAATAAATTATCCGGCCTCTAATTACATGAGAAACGGTCGAGAGCCGCGCTACCCTCGACCGAAGAGACTCTTCGTGCTTCGACTTTCCGTTCGAATTCGAGTTTTCGTTGGTAGCACTTAAGTTTTTTTGAATCTGATTTTCGCCTTTTCGATCTAAATCCACCCAAAGCCTTTGTCCTCCCATCTCCAGCATTCACTCCGTCAATGGACCCGGTATACGTTTTCAGATATTCGTAGAGCATCTCGTCTCCCGGCGTGCGGTATACCGCTATCTTTGGGTGTGGTCCTTTTAGGATTAACAAGTAATACGTGCCCGAGGCTCCGGACGAATCCTAGGAACATTGAATATATGAATATGCGGATAAACGTATCCAGGAACTGGCATCTTGGAGAATCTTGTTAACCGGGTAGTCTAGGGACGCTGGGTAAGGTGGCGCACTCTGGCGGCGGAGAAGCGAGGAGCAGCTGAATAGGTGAATGGCTTGCTAGGTAGTTCATAATGAAAGCAATGTGTCTTCATTTGGTTAGTTGTTTCGCAGCGTCGCTGCGCCGTTGCTCCAGCCATATATATATATATATATATAGTAGATAGTAGAATAGGTGCAGGGAAAATAACGCGAGTCGGCGAGTACATTGTGTTTATGGATAGGAAGAGTCCTTTATCTGTCTCTCGCTCCCCCTTTCTTGCGCCAACATAATCGCATCCGTCTTTACTAATTTCCGAGTTGAATATGTAGGAAGTCGTTCGCCGTAGTAGATTTCCTATTGAACGGTCATACTGTACTGCCATTGACGTTAACGAGGCTGAAATTAACGTTAAGCGTAACTGCGATGAACTTTCTGTGCTTTTTTTTTCTCTCTTAATAACAGACTCGCAAGTTACGCGCCTCGCAGCTCGGAAGAAGTTCCTTGTAAAGGAGGGACCTTCGTCATCGTGGTTTTCGTGAGTCTTGGACTAATTAGGAAAATGTCTGACTAACTCACAGTGGTACCTACAGTCGGTATGGATTAGTCTATGGATGTCGCGAAGCTCCGGTAATGGAATCCTGGTAGTGCCGCTGATCCGGATGAGGTGGGTCCTGGTTCTGGGCCGAGTGCAGTTCGAAAGTTTGGTATACGCTTGAAGTTGTTGTCCTTAGAGAAGATTGGCAAGGACGAAGGTTTATGAGCTAGTAACATTTCCGTGGCGCCGGGGTTTTAGACAGTTCCTAGAAAGTCCATAGGAAAGTCCTCGTTGGGCTATGTTTAGGGAAAAAGTAAGTAGCGGACTGAGAAATTGGTCGAAGGGGAGCTATCGAAACTGGTGCAGAGTTCCAGGACGAGTTAAGCAGGACGATACGGGGACTAATTTTGAAGTCGGGACTGCCCGATGCAAAAGGGACTATGAATAATGGAGACCGACTGGGGATGTTGGTTGCCGCTCCTAGTTGATCCTCCTTCTCGTCGCTCTCGTCATCGTCCTTCCTCTCTGCCGGAGTCGAGAGTAGCTAATACGAGGGAATAGGGAATGAGATTGCAAATGAGCTAGGTCGAGTATAGGTTGGGTACGGTACTTGGTATATCTAAAAGACACTAGAATATCACTAGGAAAGTACCACTTTGGCGAAGCCCATATGCGTCTTTCACTTGGCTCTCTGGTGCTCGGCAGCGACCTTGCAGCGCCGAGTGACAACGGTTCGGCTCATTGAATTGCCAACTGAAGTATCTAGTCGCGACCCCAAGAAGAGGAGGATCATCGTGGCACGTCGCGAGAACCCGATGCTGCAGGCGGTGGCATGAACTCGAGGTCTGAGACCTAGTTTACAAACTATTACACGAGGCATTAATATTCAGTTGGCTCTTATCTGGCAGCGTGACAAGAAAATGCATAATTCGGAGGCTGGAAGCCGCAGGGATGGCTTCCTGGCTGCCTAACTGCGCCTGGCTTCTGGTTACGATCCACAATACGTAAGCAAGCTCGAATTAATTAGGAAGGGGGATCCCGCGTTATACGGAGCCAACTTCACCGGTAGAGAAGGTACTGAGCCGAAGTGCCGTGAAGGGGGCCGCGGGGGGGGGGGCGGCGCTGAATCCACTACCTTCGAGTCCATACCGAGTAGTTATCAAGTTGTCGCGAAGAACGGTCAAAATGCAAATTCGTCTTAAATTTTGGTCGTTAGCGACAGACGTTCCTCGGTTCTTACCGGGCTGACACTACTAGTCGGATATAATATTCCGTGGACATTTAATGAATATGCAAATTGGTATTTCATCACTGGCCAGAGTGCTGAGACGATTAGGTGGATTAGGTGATTAGGTATTTCGGCTGTGCACTTAACGAGTAGAAATAGCACAGAGATATTGAACGATAGAACGATATTGTATATATATATATGCAGACTAGAGAAATTCAGCAGAGCCCAGTCAGATATGATGGCTGGACAGCATGGGAGGGGAAGCCATCTGTGTATACGTCTGTGTGTACCCATATGAGAGAGAACGAGAAAGGCTGCAAGAGCGAGAGAGAGAGAGAGTAGGTGGCAAAGGTAGAGAAATCGGTAGGTAAATTCCCGTCCTGCGAGAAACGTGGAAATTGCCGGGAGCTCCGATTCACCGGAGTCGATACGAAAGGGGCTGGGCCGGGTCGAGGAATAGGAACTGCGGGAGAGCCGGGTGGCCGTAGGGTGCTCGAAGGGTGGTCGAGGGGTGGACGGGGTCGACAAGAGGTAGGTGCTTGAGGTAAGGCAAGTTAATTGAAAATCGCGGCAAGTCACGGAACGATTGGATCCCACTCAGGGGCCACAATCGCATTGACGCTTTCGCACGGCCATGTGGCGCCCCTCTCGTCGAGCTCAGAACCTCAGAACCTCAGAACCTCAGAGAGTCAGCCAGCCGGGCAGCGTTGCTACCGTGCGGGGCTTAGACTCTCAAAATTCGTGAAACCTGGATGCCCCAATCTGCGGATCATCTCCAATAGAGTTTCCAAAGCAAATTGTACCGGAGCTATATCGCACAGTGCGATCTGTACGGTCCGTCCCATCCAGTATATCTATAAGTAGCGAGTGCTCGTTCAACTTCAGAGTGATCGGTGGGTCATCAATCGATAAGATAAGAGCATTATACGTATGAATGGGTATCTATAGGCTCGGATCATGAAGGCCCGACTGCTAGTATTTGCCCAATGTTTCGGTATGGACTAAAAGACAGAGAGAAAGAGAGAGAGAGAGGCAGAGTGGAGAATTTACAGTATAGAATACAGTAGAGTCAGACAGGTTTACCAAAACTGCAACAGCTACACTCGACTCGCTCCAAGTGCATATAGATATGCGCATGAGATCGCTTTCCAATTGAGCAACCAACTGGCCCGGCTTATATATGTATAAACCATATAGGACCACGTGGGCCGGGAAGGGGCAGAGGGGAGTGTCGGAGCCCCGCGCGGCATACCTGGGATGCGCAGGGTGTCGATGGGGCGGGGTGAGAACGGAAAAGGGAAACTTAACCAGGCATAACACGGTGGGGCACGCGCCTATACAGGAAGCACGTGCTCGACTAATCCGAGGCGCTAATTAACTCGGGCTTTCGGTTATTAATCCGGGAAAGCCACTGGCTGAACCAACCATTGTAATTCGGGATGAGCTGCTGCCGGGCGATCACGATGCTCGTTATTGTTGTCGAAACTGTACTGGATTGCTCTGACGCCATCGTATATGAATGCACTTTCGCGTGCCCTCAGGATACCGCACGGTTGGCTCTGCCGAAGAGTTGCCGTGTCCGGAGGTTAGCTGTAGCGAATGGCAGTAGAAGCAACAACGATCAGTAACAACAGCTTGGATGTAATCAGCCTGTAGTAGTAGTGCAGCCTGTGTATAGTCAGACGGCCATGGTAGGTGGGCTCCGGGTGGAGTCGGTCGCCACAACCGCACAAGGTGCTGCGTCGGCCATTAATATGCTCATTTGGTATTCCAAAGCTTTGGCCATACTAGCTGGGAATATGGCTAGTAAGTAATAGTCGAATGGCGTGTGCTGAAATGGTGAAGTTTATGCGAAAGCCTCCCGTGCCTCGTGGCAGCGGTACTACGATTAATTTATCGAGCCGCCTATGATTTTGGCGCCATCTTCTTGTACGCGTATGCAGCCGCCGTTACCTTGGAAATTGAATCTTGGATTTCGAAGGCTGCTCCTACGTCGCGTCATCCCTGTTTCTCGAAGATTTTCCCCGTTTTATCCTCGTGTCACGCGTATGTACGCGGGATAACCCCGAAACTTATGGAATTCTATATAGAATCCAGCGGTAGCTCGTATACGAAAGTTTGACTAAAGTCTAACTTACCTTCGAGAAGGGCTAAGCTACACGGATTGCCTGACGTGCGGTGGAGTCACGTGAGCCCGAGTAGCGATGAAGCTCAGGGAAGTTGAGTGTGCATGCATATAGATAAAAGTAAGTAGGTCGAGCGGGGGCCTGACTTTGGTGGAAGTTGATGTTGATACGTGTTATAGGACCACGTGATACACAAAGATTCCTAGGCTGACTCAGTGCACAGTATCCGGTGTAACGGGATACCGTGCGTTGATTCCTAACAAAGGAAATGACTTGATGACAACGATTAACTTCTAAGTTCAATACAAAGGACGTCGAATGACTACCTTTGTAACGAGGTTAACAAAGTAACGACCAACCCTGTTCGCTAATTCGATATACATGGCCCCCTAGCCTGTTCTGTATAGTCAGGCTGGGATTAGGTGGTTGGGAACGTGGGGG